ACTAACACACCACCACCACATCAGTGTTACTGCAGTGCTGAAAATAATCCACCACCCAAATAGTACCTGCTCTGTGAGGGTCCATGGGGGTCCTGAACAGGGTAAAAGGGGGCTAACAATTGTAATGGTAGAACTACAAAGTGCACCTATATAGTAAGTGGAGTTGATGAAAGGGACAATGAGCGTAGAAACAAGGAGGGGGTCATAATGTTATGCCTGATCGGTGTGTGTATACATAAATATATATATATATATAAGTGTGTGTGTGTGTGTGTGTGTGTGTGTGTATGTATATAAAATACTGTGCGTAAACATGTCTACAAGTTTCTTCTAAGTATAAATGAACACAGCTGAACCTGTGCAAGCATCAAATGTGGTTCCTTTAGGTGTGTTCTCTTTTAGAGACACACAAGTCAAAGTCAATTCAACTTCTATTAACATGATGAAGTGTGTGTATACTCTGTGTTAATTTAAGATTCATAGTACTAATACATGTGTAATTCATCTAAATCCAGGCCAGGGCACAAATAAATACATTCCACATAAAAATGCATAACATAAATGCACACCATATATTCTATAACAATACCTACTACATTCTACAGATGCATTCTGTATACTTAAGCTGAGTGAGTCATCGCAAGTAGAGAGTGTGGTTTGATTAAGTGTGATCTAGAATTTCCTGTTCTTTCTTAAGAAAGACATAATTTACAGTTAGGTCTGAAATACAAAGACATTCATGTCAGTGCCACTTCTTGCTAGTACAGTCATCACCCTACCTATTCCAACACTCCCACAATCCAAAGGTGTTCTACTGGATTTAGAACCAGTGGCTGAAAACACTGAACTCACTGTCATGGTCACGAAACCAGTTTGAGATGACTTTTGCTTTGTGATGTGGTGCATTATCATGTTGGAAGTAGCCATTAGAAGAAGGTAAACTGTGGTCATGAAGGGATGCAAATGGTCAGCATCAATACTTAAAAAAGCTGTGTCATTCAAGAGATGATTGGTTGATATTAACAGACCCAAAGTGTTCCAAGCTTCCTGGTTGAGCTGTTGTTGCTCCTAGACACTTCCATTTCATAATCATAGCACTTACAGTTGACAGGGGCAGACCTAGCAGTCACAAACTAGATTTCTTTTACCAAGAGAAATTCCTTATTCATCTGATACTTTGTGAATAAAGGTTCTGATTCTGAGCTAAGATACTGCCAGAAATAAGAGTAAGTGCTTTTACCTAGATACAAAGATACACAATAGAAACTTAAGAGATTACAAGACATTTAATAAGCACACGATTTGTGTTCATTTGAATGCTTTTCACGTTATTTAGCGTTCATTTAAATGCTTTTATTTTATTTTTGTAGTAGTTTTTTCAAGAAACTGTGTGACTCACACACAGTTATTATTTTATTGTGTTTGTATTTTTTAGTAAAATATTAACTAATATGATTGGGCTGAGTGGGGATCCTAAAGAAGGATTTAGCTTAGGGCCCCCAGAAGTTCAGAAATAGCCCTTATTAATGTGACTGATTTCTGGCAGGCAGAAATATCTCCAGTATTTAAACCAACCAGGCCAATTTATTTTTCTGGATTCAAATACACTAGCATAGCACAGCAGTTTAATTGGCTTCCGTTTGAATAAAATGAATAAAACTTGAGATCTGAATGAAAATCAAATTGTCTTGTGTCCCAACACTCACATTTTTAGGACATCTGGGAGAGTTACTGCCAACAATTACAAGCACTCTGGACACAAGCGTGTGATTCCATCTCCAGTAGAAATGAGGAATTTGCATGGCAGATGCAAATGTCACTATATCTAAATCAGCCCCTCCTAACACAAGAACTCAGCACTTCTAAAAGTATGTCACGGTTTCATAGTTATGGCTCTGTTACACCACAAAACTCGGTTCATTTGATCTGCCCTGAGTTCTCATCATGTCTCTGTGTTGTCACTAGATGGCAGCAAACTATAAAAAAAACACTCAGAAAACATACTCGTGTGAAGGTCTACAGTTAGACTACAGGAGCAAGAAATACAGTGATTAACCAGAACTGGACAGAAAAGAGATCAGGAATGAGATGTATTGTCCGGAGAGGAGAGTCTGAGAGAAAAGGGAGGGGGAGAGAAAGGCTGTGTTTGAAGAAATGAACAGGAAGGGAGGAGGCAGCTGGGCTGGGGTCCCTAAGTGATCTAATCTTCTCTGGAGTCTGAACCGGCCAAATGTTATGACCACACACACACACACACACACACACACACACACACACACACACAAAGACATAGAGCTTACCATAAAGCCTGAGCTCACAAAACTCACTCCGTACTGAAAAGAATTGTTCTTTTCTTTGTCCTTCTTATCCCCTTCTTTTTATACAGTACTCAGTTCAGTCACAGTTTCTCATGCCATTTTCGTCTTTTCCTCTCTCACTGCAAAATGTCTCACAACAGAACCTTAAGCACCACAAAGCATGTGATAGTAAAGCATTGTGCGATTGCTGCTTTATATCAATTTATGGTCTCAAAAAAAGAAAAACCTTAAGTAGAAGTAAAAAAGTATCTGGTCAAAGAACTACTTAGGTACTGAATAACTTACAGAACTGCAGTGGAGCTTCTTAGTATATTCAGCGTATATCAGCATAGGAACTAATATTTGATGACTCTGTTTGATGTACTCAGTGTAAAATAAGTCAATGTCCAGAAAAACATAATGAATAAAACACAAAAAGCAATGATTAACTGCACTACTGTTGAAATGTCTGGAATCAATGTTATTAATAATATAAAACCACTTTTGTTGTAGATAAATATGCTACCTAGCTAGCTAGCTTTACAGGTTTCGAATAATCAGTAGGACGGAAAAAAAACGAACAGAGTTGTTAATTAATAAATGAACAAGCAAAATGTGTTGTATTTTAAATGGTAATCAAAGGTTGATATTATAAATTATGGCAATATGACTGTATTTTGCCGTTATCGTGTTAAATTACAACCGAATGTGCTTTTCTGAGCATATCATGGAGACTGTCAGTACTTAAAGAACAGTGACCAACTGCATGTATTATTACAAAAAGAGCATAATCAGGTCTGTATAACTGGATTAAGTGTGGTGCAACTTATTAAACTCAGAAAATGAATAAATATCATTGTACATGTGCGATGTATGTTGAAAAAGTCTTAAAGTATTGTGGTATCATATTTTTACCCTATTGCCCACCCCTACTGTAAATAAGTACTGACAGTATATCATTTAATGACCTCTTGTTCTTCCCAACTTGAAACACTGAATAAAACATCTAAAAATGAAGGGTCTTGATCCAGAACACATTACAGACCTTCTTCAGTAATATTTGTTGTTTCATGATATACTTTGTTGGGAGTGGGCTTTACACATACTAGAAACATCAGTGCTACATTATGATTAATATCACTTTTTTTAGAGAAATAAAAATAAGTTTTCCATTACACATCAGCTGTAATTCTTTTCAAAACTTCATATGTCTGAAATTGTTACAAATGGATATACAGCACTTTGGAATGAGAATATCAAAATTTTCTGTATTTAGTGTGTCCACCTTTTGCTCTAATTACAGCTTCCTTGTTTTTCAGTTATTCAAAGAAATCTGCACTCTCAGAAAAAAACGTATGAAATTGGGACAGTACCCCTGTTGTCACTGGGGTGGTACCCTCAAGGGTACATCTCAGTACCTTTAGTCAGGGAACATAATTGCACCATTATCTGTTGAAATTTTTCTATTTTCTATTTTTTTCTATTTTCTATTTTCTAAGTTGTATTGACTCCACACACCCCGTCTTGTCTCCAGGCTTTTTTTATCGTTCTGTTTTAAAGCATTAGGTTATTATAAGGTAAAAATATGTACTTGTACTTCAGCTGGAAAAACATATTTAAGGTACACAACTGGACCTTAAAGCCACTGTTGTACCTTTAAGGGGACATTTACATTGTTTGTACCTTGATGAACAAAAAATGTACATCACAGAACCTTTATTTCTAACAGTGCACAGGGATGTTTTTCCATACCTCAAAAGTTGCTTCCATTTTCTGCTTCATAAAATCCAAGTAAGCATCATAAAATAAACTCTTTAAATCTTTATTGTTCATTATATTTCATTATAAGTTATTATTGGACATAAAAAAAAATTACTGATATAACATGATTCCAAACCTTCAAACAGTAGAATATATGTTAATTACTAAAATGTGAATGAGGAAAAAGTACATTAATTTTCCTCACAAATATACTTGAAATTCTCAGGAAAGTCCATCAACATGTTTCCTTAAATGAGGAATTCCACCAAATTTTTCAAAATTCTGTCTTTGAGATGTAAACAGACTGGTTTGATGTGAAATGGTTTGTTATAGAGAAACTTACAGACTGATTACAGTGGTGGTGAATGGAACCAGAGGTCACAATGTCTACACCACAAATATAGTCATTTTATTTACTATCCAAAACCACCAGTGATCCTACACGTGTCTTCTACGTTTTATATGTAATGTTTATGATGGTACAATAGTCATAAATCTGAAAAAAAAGGCTTTCTTTGCGGACTATTGTGCCTCATAACAACATCTTGCATGTACCCCTCTGCAATGAATGGATTAAAATAAATGGATTCCAATACTTTCAAAGGTAAAACTTTATCATACAACTATCATAAAATAATGTCTCAGACATCGAGCAGCATATATCTAACTACTTCATGTAACGACTTTCTGTGAGGGAGCTTTTAGAGGTGGACGTCTGGTTCCTCTCACCACCACTCAGAACGATTCTGACTATGTAAGTTTCTCTAGAACAGAGTGTTTCACACCAAACCACTCTGAATGGCTTTGTTTACATCTCAACCATTCAATTATGTAGGATTTTTAAAAATTCGGTAGAGTTCCCCTTTAAGTAGCTAAATGTAACTGAGTAAAGCCAACTAGCTGCTCGCGCTGGTGTTGTGCTTAACTAAGCGTACAGAAACTGCACACGGCCTACATGTTGGTTCATATACTTTTCTGAGGGTGCACATTTTCAGGTGAGCACTAAAGAGCTGGTTACCTCTTAATAAATGTAATACCGTGTAGTGAAGAGTGAGGTTGTGGGGGTTTTCCTTCAGTCACGGTGCTGAGCTGTGGAACAGAAGGAGGTGCTACAGTGTAGCCTAGCATGAAACAACTGCCTTTTCTCCTCCTCTTTGGCCACCGAGGGGTTAAACCTCTGAGCAAACAGCTGAAGAAAGAGCTACACAGACACGAGGCTGTTTGAGACCATCAACCTACAGCCCGGCTCGAGAGTTAGAAGCTGTGAGCTACACGTACCGTTTCACAGGAATGAGCTCAAAGCTGTGCCGGACCGGCTCGTCCATTCGATGTGAGTGGCTTGTTCTCGCCGTCAGCTCCAGCCGGCTCTGGACACAATGACGGAGAGTACGGTGGTCAAAGAGACTGGACTTCGAGTGGAGACGATCCAGTGTGTGTCCCGGACTAGTGCACGTTTCCCGGAGATGTCCCCGGTGAAATAACCAAATAAGCTCTGCAGGTGGCCGAGGCCCAAGAGCAGCTCTGTCCCATGTCTTCAGTGAGTGTCCGCCAGGGAAAGAGGGCAAGATGAGAAAAGCCAAAATCAGTCGGATGGTTCTTGCCATGTGTTTGGGTTCCTTTGTCATGGTCATATTCTATTTCCAAAGTAATTTGAAAACAGGTGAGTTTTCAGTGTTTCTACAAGTGTTCTGTTCTATTCTATTCTATTCTATTCTATTCTATTCTATCCTGTCTCATGTAGGCTTATGAGGGTCACTTACACTTTAAAAATGGTTCCTCAAGGCTTCTTTAGTAAAGGAAATGGCTCTATTTAGAACAATGAGTTCGATATAGAAACATTTATGCTTATGGTTCTTTGCATAGTGAAGTGGTTCTTCAGATAGATGGGGAATATGCTGTAGATGGATGGTCCTTTATAGAACCTATTTGAAATGGGTCCTATATAGCACCAAAAAGGTTCTTTTTTTGTATCAATGTCAAGCTTGTAACAGTAAAAGAACCCTTTTTGATTCTATATAGAACCCTTTTCTCAAAAGGTTTCTATATAGAACCATCTACAGCACATTCTCCATCAATCTGCAAAACTCTTTCATGATTCAAGAACGCTTTTTAATCAATACATGGAACCATTTTCTTTACTAAGGAGCCCTCAAATAACCATCTTTTGTAAATGTATAGGTTTAAACATGGAGAAAAGAGCCCAGCGGCCTCCTCCTGTTCCTTGAGATCCTGAATGGTTTTGATGATGCCACACACTGAGAAAAAAACCTGTATCTTTCAGGGTACAAATGCTGTCACTGCAGCGGTACCTTACGTATAACGTATATGTACCACATTCCACTGTAGTTATATTTTTAAGTTACATTGACTTCAAACAACCTGGTTTTACTCCAGGCTTTTTATTTAATTCCCTCTACTTAAATAAGCTAAGAAAGTACAAATTTGACCCTTACCTCTGGGGAAGTGAATGGAGCGTACCTTTAAAACTCATTTAAGGTACTCAGTTGGACCCTACGGACCATGTTGAAGCTTTCTTAGGTTACATTTACATTGTACTTTGGGGCACTAAAATTTACTTGAACAATTTGATTAAGATTATGATGGAGACAGTTATTTGGTGTTATTCAGTGTCATGACATAATATTGGGAAATGTAGCAAAAGTGTAACACTATGATTTGTGGCTGAAGAAGACATTTTCACAATACAATACATGTATCATGGTATATTTAGTTTTGTTTAGGTTTGTGAACAAGTTGGAACTGACAAAATGCACCAAAAATGACATCCTATTTGTAGCTTATGGACTTGCGCTGTTAGAAAAAGGGTAGTGTCAGGGTAAATTTTAGTCCCCCAGGGTACAATGTAAATGCATCCTCAAATGTACACTTTGGTCTTTTAAGGTCCAACTGTAAACCATAAATGAGTTTTAAAGGTACACAGTATTGAGTTTCCCAGAGGAATGGGGCAAACCTGAGCCTTTTTATAACTTTATAACTTTGCTTCAAGTAGAAGAACAAAATAAAACGCTGGGAGTCAAGATGGGGTGTGGGGAGTAATAACTGCTACAGAATATGGTAGATATTTTCCCTAAAGCTATTGAAGACTTACCTTGAGAGTACCATCACAGTGACACAGTGTACCCTGAAAGGTAATTTTTTTCTGACAGCGTGACATACATTGGTTGTTGTTTTTGTTTACAGGGTGTCTATAATTGGTCTAAATCTGTCTTTTTGATGATGCATGCACTTGATCAAAAGTACTCAAAGATGCCCACAGAAAAGCCTTTTTTGTAATAACAGTAACATATTGCCTGCTGCTATCTCTACAGCCTTTAAAATGTATATCTGTAATGGCTATAGTCTACATTTTGTAAGAAAAAGACATACTTATCTCATGGACTTTAAACCTGTGTTGTGTTGGCCAGATTCTCTGCCTTTCACTTCCATGCATTGCCATTCTTAGGGTTAGCAACTGTATAGCAAAGTAATACAAATAAGAGAGTGGGACAACAAAAGAGCAGGCTACTGTGGGATCATTCATGGCAAATTATCTTGCTTGAGTGATGCATCATTGGGATAAGTTGGATGTGTTGTTTAGGCTCCTGTTTTCCCCATTTTCAGCAGTTTGAACAAAACTAGGACAACTCAGAGGAGCAGTTCTCATGTAGAAACTGCTGAGGGTGGAGCTCTTTTTAATTAGCCTGGAGCTACTTTTGCTCTGGCATATGTGCTAAGCTCTGCGAGACTGAGGGCTTTGAGCTAACTAACAATTTACCCATTACACCCATTACTCTCTGGCATGTAGTTCTTCTGTTTCTGAACGCGGACTGGTTTGTCTGAGTGCTGGCTTTGCTCTCTCTCCCGCACTCCCTCCCTCCCTCCTGCTGTCAGATCCATCTCATACAATGAGAGCTTTCAAACATGAGGGTAAAAAAAAATCTGATTTGCACTTGCCAAGAGTGCAGGTATGCTATGTTTTTGCACATAGAAACAGTCAGAAGGCATAACTAATGAGCATGTCTCTAAGTGATGACTCACTGTCAGATCCTATTCAGGAAACCTGCCTTGGGTGAGATTGATTGCCCTAATACTTAAACATTATCTTGTCTGCTCTGAGTGAGATTTTGCACAGTAAGAAGTAAGCATAGAAGCCAGTGCAAACCTTTAACTTTAACATTAGGAAACAAAAACAGCAGATAATACTAGATAAAAAGACTTGATACACTATGAATGAAATTTGTGATAAATACTTAGATTAATGAAAATGTGCTTTTTTAATATATAGATCAGGACAGGGGTTCTCTTTGCTTTTCTTTGCTTTTATGCAATTCATTGTAGGGACTGCCAGACAGATGGATAGAGAGATAAGCAAATAGGTACGCAATTACCTACGCTGAATACGCAGCTCACCTCTAGGCACCTCATGATTTGATTTGAATACAATATAACATGATGCGATTATAAAACATTTATCGATGCAACTCAATTAACCCCTAAAAAAGCCATTACACACTTCTATAACCTAAAATAGCTCCACTAGTTTGCTTTGAAGTCCCTGTAGTTACTGAATCATAAGCTTTTGTATGAAATAAACCTGGATTGTTAAGGGGTTAATGATGATTATGACCGGTTTGTGACTGCAAACAAGTGTAAGATCCTGCATTTTCCCCTCTCTAAGCCATACAGTGCCACTGTGTCCTACTTTATGTCTCTGGTGTGCATGGGTTTATTTTACAGTAGGAGAAACGCAAAGCCTGCATAAAAACTCATTTATGCCAGTTTGTAAATCGATTCAAAATCTATGAAGAGAGAATCCTGATACCCTGAAGAATTATTTTTCCCACCCTTATAGCAGATCAGTTTAATTAGTATGTTGTCAAATCAAGTGTTAAAAGGGGATCCTGCTAATTTTTCAAAAATTATAATTAAATCGCTAAGATGTAAACAAAGTCATTCCGAGTGGTTTGATGTGAAATGCTCCGTTCTAGAGAAACTTACCAAGTCATAATTGTTCACATTGTTGGTGATAGGAACCAGACATCTGGAGAGTTTAACTCCCCTAAAATCTCCTTCACGTGAAGTTATAACATGAAACTGAGACATTATTTTACAGTGGTTTTGAGGTAAAACTTTTGACAAATGTATTTTTATATATATTAATGACAGAAAGATACATGCAGGGCATTGTAAGGCAAAATAGTCCCCAAGAAAACCACTATTTCACCATTAACATTTACATATAAAAACTCAATACATTTAGGTTCAATGGTCATTACAGACAGTAAACAAAATGGCTATATTGGTAAACTTTGCCACCCCTAGTTCCCATCAGCACCCCTGTAAAGAGTCAGCAGTTTTTCTACAATTAACCATTTCACACCAAAACAATCTGAATGACTTTCTTTACATCTTAACCATTCATTTATTCAGAAATTACAAAATCAGTAGAATTCCCCTTTAATAAAGTACCTTATAGCACAGTTCCTTAGCATGTGCTAAACTTCTGATGCATCTGGCAATGAACCAGTCATGGTAGCAAAACCACAAGTGCCAGTCACTTGCTTTCATGAATCTATCCTGCTGTTTTTGCAAAGCTCATACTGTGACAGAAGAGTGGCTTTGGCACAGCAGAAACAGTCAGTGAATTTCCTCTGTCCTCACTCTAACCCTCGACAATGAGACTAATCCATCCATGTGCTGTGTCATTACCACAGCCAGGGATCAAGATCAAGATAATGCCACTGCGCTCCCTAAACTTCATGCTACATGAACCGGGGAACGGAGCTTGGGCCGTCCCTGCACTTGGGTAGGCTTGTTTTAGCTGCCTTGTCCCAGGAGGACAAGGAATATGAAGAACATTGTTGTGGTGATGGACCACACGGGACCAGTACACATCCCAGGATGCAGTCTGTGGTCTCTGAGACAGCCAGTGCCATATTTTTGGAAAGGAAAGTAAATAGCTATCCATTGTAGAAGCAAAATGTGCATAAGCTTGCCTACGTGGCACTGGCTTGTTTTTTGGACTGTCATGGGTACCCTGTAATTATGAGATATATATATATATATATATATATATATATATATATATATATATATATATATGTGTATGTGTATGTGTATGTGTATGTGTGTGTGTGTGTGTGTGTGTGTGTGTCATTCCAAAGTTTTGAATCAGTGTTTTCAATAATATAAACCAGTTTGGTTGCAGATAAATATGTAAAAGGATTCTAATTTGAAAGTCCTGTGCAACTTCATGTTTCAAATAACTAATAGGAAGCTAGGAAACTGCTAAAAAAGAAAAAGAAGTTGTGATATAATTAAAAGAATATTCAGAATGTCTTGTATTTCATAAGGGCTGATCAGATCTAAAGGTAGAAATCTGCACAAAAAATTAAGTAACAATAATTACAGTATATTATTTATAATTTAAAGGGGAATCCCACCAATTAAATTATTAAGATGTAAGCAAAGTCATACATAGTGGTTTGATGTAAAATGCTCTCTTTTAGAGAAATTCACAGAGTCAGGATTGACGTCCAAAGAGTTTAATGCTTCTAAAAGCCCCCTCACAGAAAGTGATTAATCATCTTGACCTCTGGTTCCTGTCACCACCACTAGAAAGAAATCTGAATCAGTAAGTTTGAATTTCTGAATGACTTT